AAAATAACTTTTCAAACTAGTAGTGGATAAGCATCTTTTTAACTTTAACTCTGTTTAGGACTGTAAATTACATACAAAAACGATACTCTTTATCTCCTGACATTGGGACTAATAAAACGGGGGTCGACCAAGGTTGAAGGTTCAATTACCCCCATGTTAAGCATCTTTGTTACCACCGCATCGATGATTTTTTGCTGAAATGCCGAAACAGGTTTGTAACGCTGTTTTATTGGACTAGTATCTGGTGAAAATTCAAGGTGCCAAACCGAATTTGGATGACGAAACCTTAAAATTTCAAAATGAGAATTAGATTTTGACTATTCTATATTACAAGTTGTACAGATAATGCCCTCGCTCGGAAAACGGGCTTCTAATCGCAAACTGCGCGTAGCACAAAATCAATTGTGGCGGGGAAAATACAAAATTTTCACCAGTATCAAGCAACAAACGATTTCGTGTTCCACTTGCTCTACCCTTCTCCCATTACTTTAAACTTGACCCCAAATAAAACTTCCAACCGAGATTTTTGGTCTATTGTTGAAGTGTCCTGACTGTCAATCCCAAAAATTTCGATAGGAGAAAGTTCGCCAAAATTCCACTTTCTTCTTTGTAAATCCGGTACATTTCCTTGCGATCCAGAAGTCCATAAAGCGTAGTGCATAAATCAAGCAACACTAAAATATTTAGAAGTTTTTATCAAAAACTGTACAAAATTTTTATTAACTAAGAAGAAACCACTCTTCAACCCGTCAATGTCCATTTTGATACACGGCTATGTTTGATTACGCCGGTTTTGGAACGTGCACTAACAAAGAACGAATTTGTCATTCGGTTGTATGTAGTTAGACGTGGTTTCGAATAATTCCGAAAAAGGAAGGAGCGTTTGTTAGCCCGAATGGCATGCGTTTAAAATGATAAAGCCCTTGCCGAGAACAGTGAATGCCGTATATTACCTACTAGATGCCTTCTTGAGAATTTGCCAACAGGCAGGTTTTCTGTTTATCGTGCTCAAACAATTCGCACTGCGAAGCCTATCTAAAATTGCAGTGACATATAGTAGTGGATAAGCGTCTTTTTTGGTAACTCGGTTTAGGACCCTAATTCAAAAACGATACTCTATTGACGGTTCGATTACCACCAACACCATGTTAAGCACCTTCGTTATACTTCCGGGGTATCAATGATTTTTTGTTTAAATGGCGAAACAGGGTAGTAGCGCTGTTTTATTGGACTAGTATTTCATGTTTCACTTGCTCCGTGTACTCCAACCCTTCTCCGAGATTTTTGGTCTATTGTTAAAGTGCCCTGACTGTCAATCCCAAAAACTTGAATAGGTGAAGGTTCCCCGAACCTTTTTAATTTCGGAATAATGGCATTTGCGATCCAGAAGTTCACACCTAATATAAAAGCGTAGTGCGTAAATTTGGCAATACTAAAATATTTGTAAGTTTTCATAAAAAACGGTCTAAAATTTCTATTAGCTGAAAGAGCACCACTCTAACCCAGGCGATCGTATTCCATTTTTTTTTACCAGTTCCTGAATCTAAAATACAAACAAAATGCAATTCCTACCTTGTACTCACGTATCAATGCTAAAGTTGTTCCTTATCCAAACCTCCATTTTTATTAATAATAAATTACTGGTACATTCTCCTGTTGAAAATATACACACCGCTCTGAATGCTAAATAAAATTTTAATCTAACCAAAGAAATTTTATCACTGAATTGAAACGCAAATTTACAATTAATGAAACAAAAGTGCCCAAAAATCTTTTGTTTGGATCTGATTATCAAAAAATTCAATAGAAGTCTGTTCCATGCACAGGATTCTCATAGGTCGATTCCTTTAGGAATATTTATTCGACGATTTCAATATTCAACCGTATCCGGAACTTGAATATTGAAATCGGACGGTGTCTCTAATTAATTAACACTCACTTAATTTAAATACATTTATTAGTTACAGCGTCTATATTTACATCTCTATATACAGTATGGCTGCGTGTTATTGTCCCACCTACATTTGTATGTGGAAATCCGTATACGCAATTAGCGAAATGGGATTAGCACAAAAATTATCCTAATTATATCATTATCATCCCTATCTAACCTAACACTTCGATCTATCGATGCCTAATAATTAAGTAAACTGTGTCCCATTTCATCAATGGCAGTGAAATGACCAATCACGTTTTTCAATCGTTTGAGTTACATTTGACATAGGTTCAAGTGTAAGATTAGCAATTACAAAATGCCCAATGTCACATTTAATCTTTAATCTTGTGTTTTAAGAGATGGTGTTTGAAATTTTTCCTAACGTTCGTTGCATAATCACAATTTGCACATCTAAAACCTTTAAAATTGTGTATCTTCAAGAGATGATGTTTCAAGCTAAACTTATAATGTGATGCGTAATCACAATGTGCACATCTAAAATCTTTGACATCTTTGTGTTGTAATTGATGGTATTTCAAAGAACTTTTAAAGTTTGTTGCATAATCACATAGTGCACACTTAAAGTCTTTAGAAATGTTAACTTTGTGTATTAAGAGATGTTTTTTAAAGTGTCGACTAATATTTGTTCCATAATTACACACACCACATCTAAAATCCATAAAAGTTTTGTGTCTCAAGAGATGAAATTTCAAACCACTTTTGTACTTTGTTTCAAAATTACAATGTGCACATCTGAATTCTTTAAAAAGTTTGTGCCTTACGAGATGTACTTTAAATTGCGCTTTTATATATGTTTCATAATCACAATTTGCACACTTAAACTTTTCAATTTTGTTCTTCGCGTCACATTTAAATTTGTATTTTAAGAAATGTTGGTTAAAATTGCAAATAATATTTGTTTCATAATTACATATACCGCATCTAAATTTTTTGTGATTTAAGAGATGCTGTTTCAAAGCATCTTTAGACTTTGTTTCAAAATTACAATTTGCACATCTAAATTCTTCACAAATTTTGTGCGTTAGGAGATGCTGTTTGAAATCCTCTTTCTCTTTTGTTGAATAATCACAAAGGTCACATTTAAAATCTATGTGTGTTGAAAGGTGTTTTCTCAAACAGTGTTCGTACTTTGTGACAAAATCACAAATATCACATTTAAAAACATAAGCGGCATGTGTTAGATAATGTCTTTTCAAACTGGTTTCACTGTTTGCTGCATAATGACAAATCCCACAATTAAAATGGGTTGAAAAATGATCTTCTAACTTGTAATTATGATTTGTTGCATAATCACAAAGGTCACATTTAAACTTTTTATCTGCTATTTCACATTTGAACTTCACATTTTGAATTTTAATATTTGACCAAAAAACCTTTTGTTTTTGCGCTTCTTTCAAGTCGTACTCATCGCTACAGTATTCTGTTCCAGATGCAACGGCAACAGGTTCTTCTTTTACACAAACATCATTGCTTATAAAAATATTTCCGCCGAGTGACAAATTTATTTCCTCTTCTTGCTCTTGTTCTATCTTAACTGTTACCGGCTATAAATATATGTAAATGATATCATCACAAAAATAACACTTACCTCCATAAGTGCAATGCCTTACAACTGAAATGGCATTCCAAAAAGGCTATGAAAATAAATATTTTATAAACAAAGCTGATAATATTTAATGAACTTACGGCCTCGGTTGAAGACAAATGTTTTGGTCGAGGTTTTGGTGTTCAAACACAACATAAAATGTAACTAACCTGCACCCACGGGCTTCTTTAAACAAGAAGGATACGGATATGGTCTCAAAGCCCTTTATTTCTGACTCTTTCTTAAACATATGTAGGGTTATGTAAGTGAAAAGTAGGCTTGGTGGCAAAGCAAGAACCAATGCGAAGGAGTTTTTGCGCATGTCAAAGCCAGTGGCGTACCTAAATATTGTACCGCGGGGCGGTCTCCAATTTCAAGTGCCATTTGGTTATTCCACAGAAGTTCTATGTGGTTTAAAAGGTGTGTCTTTAACTTCTATGTCATGTGTCTCATAATCACACCGGATACATTTAAGACCTTAATAATTGTGTTGTTTGTAATGTTACTTACCGAACATATTAAATACTTCTTGGTTAGAAATCGGCATTTTAGAAAAGATTACAAATTAAAAAAACTGCACGTTCTGAATGCAAACACAGCAGAATAATTTACAAATTACGACTGTTATTATTTTATAATGCATCGTGTTTCATTTGTTTAATTTTCCAAGGCCTACCTAAAAGTGTAGGGTACTTTCCCAAACAATTTCTCGCGCCATCGACAAATACCGGAAATACGTCAAATAAGATAATTTTTATTAATTACTTAATTAATCTCATTTTCCCAATATTTGAGGTTAGGAACGAGAGTTTGAAAAACGGTTTTCACTGGCCTCTTTGGGTGTTATTTGGCTACTTTTTCATAAAGAAAAAGTCATATCATTCCATTTGATTTTTTTAGGAATTTGGATCATAGTGTTAAAACTAGCCCCTGGCGGAGAAGGATTCAATTAAATTAACTATATTTTATTAACTATTTTTTATTTATTGCAAAAACAATTGAACGCCGCACGCCATTTTTGTTTTTGAAATAACTGAGTTTTTGATTTTACGAAAATGATAGATAAACTGGTTCTCTTTAAAAATGTGAAAATAGTATATTATATACCGCGGGACTGAAGTAGTACTTTTAATCCCGAAGGTAAAGTTTATGGCCCGACCGAAGGGAGGGCCATAATTTACCTGAGGGATTAAGACCACTACTTCAGTCGCAAGGTATAAACGATATTTTTCGTACTTCCGAAACCGAAACACTTAATATGTATGAAGTTAGAGAACGCGTTCTTTCAAAAAAATCGCTGCTTGACAAGTTACCATAGGAACGTTGCGTTGGTATGACAAACCCTATGCTATGGTAACAAAAATAATTTGGAAACTGTCATTGCTAGTGTCATAATTTTGGTGGTGGGTGACAAAGGTGTATTTGATATTGATAAAAAGCAGCCAAAGTAGGTATAGAATTGATACCACCGAAATCCAAAAAACTATATGAGCAGCAGTACGATGCGTTTAAGAAGTAGTGCCGCATACAAAATGTGGAACAACCTACTGAAATTGCCTTGTTAGTAATTTCATCCTTCCGGGATTTTCGTCTAAATTTAATCCCGGCGGGACAAAAAGTGACACTTCAGTACTTGTCATAATGGAGTGAAGTTCTTACTTTAGTCCCGGAAGTACGAAAAAAAATGTTAGTTTATTATCCGAAATTTAAAGAAAATGAAATTTCAAAAAAAAAAAAGTTACGCCCTCTGGGGGTCATTTTTAGAACTTAAATATATTTTCCAGCGATTCTTCATAACGGATTTACCCAATAATTTTTTTCCCCCCTAAGTCATACGACGAACGCTTCCCGAGGAACAGTCTTATTGGGTCACCCGGTACCTATTTTTCTTACACGTGATTTCGCATTTAGGTTAAATCATGTCAAATTCAAAACAAAGGTTGAAAAGCATAAAAAGACATAAAATGTTGCATACAGAACACAAATAATTATAAGGAAATGCAAAGATTACTACCTGCATTAACACAAAAAAACATCAAACCTAAACGACACGATCCTCACTCGACGAGAACTCAAACCAAGATGGCTGTAACGTAAAAAACGTTCAAAACGGGAACACAGCTTTCCTTTTCTAAAAAAGTCTCTCCGTTATCTGAACATCGCAGATTATGCATACCTCTCAAAAAAAGGGTGATATTAATATGTGCCAACAAGCCCTTTGCTGGGAACTGTAAATGCCGTATTTCCCCTACTAGATGCCTTCATGGGGATTTGCCAATAAGCAGATGTGATGTCCATGGTGCTCAAAAATGTTGCACCGCGAAGTGCGGTGACATATTATATGGTAGTGGGTAAGCGTCTTTTTTGCTAACTCGGCATAAGGCCCTAAAATCTAAACAAAAACGATACTCATCTCCTGACTTTTCATATTCCACTTGCTCCGTACAGCCCAGCCTTTCTCCCATTACTTTAAACTTGACCCCAACCACGACGCCTATCTAAAATTTAGGTGACATATGGTAGTGGATACGCGTCTGTTTTGGTAACCCGGTTTAGGGCCCTAAATTCCACGCAAAAACGATACTCTTTCTTTCTACTTGATCCGTAGACCCCAACCCTTCTCCCATTACTTTAAACTTGGCCTCAACTTCCAACAACCGAGATTTTTGGTCTATTGTTAAAGTGTCCAGAGTCCTGACTGTCAATCCCAAAAACTTCAATAGAGGTTAGGTTAAGGTTAGGTGATGCAAGCCGTTGGTGTGGGTAATTAATTAACACACAATTAACTTAAACACGGTAGTGTACTTAACCCCCAGGTTCTACGCTAACTTCACACTACAAGAACACGGAAATAAAGTCAACCCGGCAACGTTTAAAAATGGCCACCCGAATGACTATTCCCTCCAAAACTAAACAAGATCCCGCTTAAATTTGAAAAGTGGCACGTGATCAAACATCTAAGGCAGGCCCCCCTTACGTTAGTTGTAGACAACGCTTTGACCTGAAGCACAGGGAAGGAACGTAAAATAAAACACTCAAATTGTGAAAAGTTTGTTTAATAATGATCGTAATTTTATTATTATGATTGTGAAAGCTCGGAAATTTAAGTCGAAATAAATTACATTGCAAAAATAAACTTTGAAAATGGTAGTTCACCGAAGAAAAATAGAAATAGGCTGGGAAAAAAAAGAACTTACCAATAAAAAAACCAGCCGTCAAATTAATATTAAATTGTGTTGTAAAATTAATTGTTTGTAATGATGTGAATGCGTAACATAAAATTATAACATCACAAAAAGTAGCAGGTAAACTTCAAGATGTAACATATAGGTTAAAAACAAGTTTTGGGAATTATGGGTCAGGTAAGCAGGTACCAGGACTCTAAGAAAGGGTTAAATACACAGGACGTGACTCATCTTTGGTGCAATAAAGTCCTTTTGTTAAAAGCAAAATGGAAAATGACATGGCCATGTAGGCAAATTTAACTAAAACAAGATATGTGGAAATTACGAATCGTAACTCATTTATCGCACATAGATTCTAAACTGAAGCGCTTTGATTAGCGTAATCCCACTCCTGCAAGATAGGTAACCCGCCCCTGGTTTCGAGCCTACAGTTGAATGTCCAATGAATAAAGAATATGTACCAGGTTGTATACAAGAGAGTGGGACGGAAGTCGGCCATTTGCAAAAGCCACTTATGACTCATTTTTGTTGTGGTTTTTGCAGTGACATAAAATAATGGTTAGTTGTTGTGCTTGCTCCAAAACGGAAAAAAATAAAAGTTTGGGAATTACATTTCATGTGCAAGTATTGATACCAATATTATTTTTATATGGTACATGTAAATTTACAAATTTTTTATCGGAATGTAGTTTGAGGTTAGTTAAACAAAAGTCATAGGCGGAGTAGACACATGGGGGTTTAGATTGTTTTCGTGTAAAATTCTTTATAATTGTATCCTTCTACAACTGTAAGGTAGGTACGCCACTGGAACAGGAAACTACTGTCCGCCATTTGCAAAAGCCATCGCGGTCGCACGTATATTGTTGATATTCTCCTTCCTGGTATTCGTTATTCATTGTGAATGTCGAAGACAATCACGGAATTAGGTGTCGTACCTCAAATGGTTACAGTTTTTACCACCCCCGTGAATTCACGGAGAAAATTGTTAGTAACAAACAACAAGTCAGTACATACATCAAACGAATCGGTAATTTCCACATATTAAAATAAAATGATCAAAACTTATATGAATGTTACATCAGGTACAAGACCAAGTAATCAACATCAATAAATATAAATTAAGCAAGCATTACACCAAAAACGTAAACAATTACAAACAATAGCATAACGGTATCACATATGTGATTATGCATTGCGGTTAAACCAAGTAAATTTCAAACACATAGATTTAAAAACACCAAAAGTATACAATGCGGCATACAAAACACAAATACGATATAAAGAAATGCAAAAATTACTATCTGCATTAAATAACACAAAATAATAACAAACATTTATGGAAGCGTTCACGACTGCCAATCAAGACAAGATGCCCAACGTAACTCCCGTCCGTGCTTTTTAGATGGTGTAGGCGGCTTTTTCCCACCTAGAAATTGCATTGTTGTCAACTCTCAAAAATGTATGCATCGTCGTAAGTTGTATATACAAGATGGAACCTCTCAAGTTATACCATTTGGACGCGCTTCTTCCGGATTACGACTACACGGTCAGTCACCTCTTACGCGGTTTTAATGGTGTGTCAGCATCATCCTCATCGCAGCTATAAAACTCCGAAAACTAATTCGTATTCAAAAGTTTGCGACTCACTTCCTCTGTTCACTTTAACGTCAAAACTACGACTGAAGTAAAATCTTCTACAGTGATATTCTGGACTGTGGAAGCCAACCGTAGTGCCTCGTCGGCACTTTCAGCTTCTTTATCCCACTTCTGACGACTGCTATTACCTAGCACTAAACACTCGCAAAATAGTTACACTCTTTATTAAGATAAATCATGAAGGCCGACATATTACAAAAATTTGATAGGCGCCATCTTATATCTTCATCACTCTGACATTATAAACAGTGTTGCCATTTGTTTATAAAGTCATACAAGACCGACCAACAAGCTTCGCTTACAACAGATGTTCTCTTTGCCCGAACTGGGGTAAAATGCAATGTGAAAACCTGATTACCGACCTAACAATTATGGTTCAAGCTGTTTCAAGTTTGATCGTGTTTTTTTTTTATTTTAGGCATAGACAACCAAGGTCATTAGCC